GTTCCATGATTCATTGTTTGTGCATAACACCCAGTGCTCCACGCAGAACGTGCCCTCTTTAATACCCATCACCAGGCTAACCCATCCCCCCACCCTAAATACTATTTTTTAATAGTGAAATAAGCCTCCTGTGAAATCCCCAGGCTCTCCTTCTGTGGCTGTGGGTTTTTAGGTGCACACAAAGATAGCGGATGGGCTTTGGAATTGGCAAGACCTGCCTCTTACTGCTGAGTTACCCCAAGCAAGTAGCTAAACCTCCCTAAGCTTTGTTTTCTCATCTGTGAAATGGGGACAGTAGTAATTCTATCTTTGTCATGGGGTTGTGGGAGGAGGATGTGAGGTCACTCATGCAAATGGTGTAGCATGTAGGGAGCACTTAATACATGTTGGCTACTAGTGTTATAATTATTGTTGGAAGGAAGTTAAATTTATATTGGTCATACGAGTGTGAATGACCTGCATTTGTTTGTTTTATAAAGTCCATGTGTCATGATCTTCAAGTGGAGAGCAGCTTTGGTGTTTGTTTTGGTTAGGTTGTCCAAATAGCTACAGACAGCTAGCCTTTATTCTTTAATTAGGAGAGCTGTTTGTGAAGAAACACGTTGTCTCTTGATCTCTGTTCTAATTTGTCAAGGCGAAAATTCCATGAATTGACTGCATCTTTACACACACACACACACACACACACACACACACACACACAAAGGAAGATTCATCAGAATTTGTGGAACTTTGAGAACTTTGGGGAAGGCTCCAAAGAAAGAGAATACAAATTCATGAGTGAAAGAAACAATGTACCTATTTTCATATTATAAGCATTTCTGAGCTAACTGATAAAACTCTAGTAGCGTATCTTCCTAAAGAAACAGTGAAAGAATGGTAGTTACATCCCAGCCAGGGCACTACTTAATTCAAAGATTATTCATAGGGACGCCTGGGTGGCTCAGTCGGTGAAGCATCTGCCCTCAGCTCAGGTCATGATCCTGGAGTCCCGGGATCGAGTCCCACATTGGGCTCCTTGCTCAGCAGGGAGTCTGCTTCTCCCTCTCCCTCTGCCCCTCCTCCCCCCTCATGCTCTCTCTTTCTCTAATAAATAAATAAAAATCTTAAAAAAAAAATGGGCATGATCGGGCAGAGAGGGGCACAGTTGGGAAACAGTTTCTTTCCATCTTGAACTCCCAGATGGTTCATGTTAGTGTGGGGACCGCTCAGCAGGTGGGGGCGGGGGAGGGGAGGCAGAGGGTGGGAGGATGGCTGTGAGTCCGGGCTGACGGAGCATGGAGCTGCCTGCGTTACCATCCTGCTACCAGCAGTCAGCTCATCAGCCCTCATCAGGTAGGACTGAGGTTCTTCACCCATCATGTCTGGCTCAGCAATGAGCCCCGCTACATTAGGCTGCTGGAGGTGGCTTGAAGTGCACCACCGATTCTCAGTAAAACTCATGCTTGCGAAGGAGGTGGAAAATTCCTGATTCATCTGACTCTTTCCAGTGACTGCAACCTGCCTGAGAACCCTCTGTTCATTGCATGTGGCGGACCACAAGCCAGCACCCAGGGGTAAGTGGATTCCAAAATTGTTCCTAGAAAAAGAACATCTTGGGGCACCTGGGTTGCTCAGTTGGTTAAGCGACTGACCCTTGGTTTCGGCTCAGGTAGTGATCTCAGGGTCCTGCGATCGAGCCTTGTGTTGGGCTCTGCGCTCAATGCAGAGTTTGCTTCTCTCTCTCCTTCTGCTCCTCCCTCCTCTCTCTCTCTCTCTCATAAATAAAACCTTAAAAAAAAAAAAAAAGAACATCTTGCCCAGAAGGATGCTCAACAGACATTGAAGGCATGGGATTTGTAGACACATAGAGGTTCAAATTCCAGGTCTGCCATTTACAGCCATGTGATTTTGAACAAGTTGCTAATTTTTTTTTTTGAGGTACAGCTTCCTCCTTTGGCAAAATAGAAAAAATGTGCCGGGGCCCCTGGGTGGCTCAGTCAGTGAAGCGTCTGCCCTCGGCTCAGATCATGATCTTAGGGTCCTGGGGTCAAGCCCCACATCAGGCTCCCTGCTCAGGGAATAAATAAAATCCTTAAAAAAGAAAAACAGTGCATATTCCCAAAATCATGGCCTGGATAGCGTGCAAGAGTGGAGGTAAACAGCATTATCAGTAAGTTGCTCGCTAAACAATAAAAATGGCAGTTAAATAGTAATATTACTCTCATTGTTATTATGCATAACCTTTATCCATATTTCACCCTGAGAAAGTCGTCATTGATGAGACAGGGTGAGGAGAAGATTTTTAGGTAGTTTCTGAGGAAGGGGGCCAGAGGGTGGTATTCCTGCTGGGGTTGTGTGCCAACTGCATGAGCTTAAAACTGTATTAATACTACAATGATCAATAAAGCAATATTTCCTCCTGTCTGCTGCCAGGAGCTGGTTTAGGCACTGAGGCCTCGTTGTGAGCAGGGCAGAAAGCCTTCCTGCTCTACTGGGGCATGTGTCCCGGCAGGTGCATGGGCGCTGGCCAGAACTCACACATACTCTCAAGGGTTAGGAGGGAAAAGCGTGTGCCACAGAGCATCCCAACCCCGTCCCAGGGGAGCTCTCGGTGAAGAAGTGGTGTTTCAACCGAGGTATTTCAGGGTGAACGAGGGTTAGATGCTCAAACAGGACCTAGCAGTGAAGGGTCCTAAGGCCAGCGAGAGCAGAGAGAGCTTCAGAAGAACAGAAGACAGGAAGGTTCAGTTAAGCCCTCAGGGTTGGATTTACTTAAATTAGGCCAGTCTTTTCTTTCTTTCCTTTTCTTTCCTTCCCTTCCCTCCCTTCCTTCCTTCCTTTTTGGGGACTGACTTCCGTGCCTTTAGATCGGGTTTTCAGTCTCTTAGACTGTCAGGGTCCCCACACTGGGCTGTTTCACATGCGCCCCTTTGCTCACTCCCGTTGTGTGGGCTTCACTTCAGTCACTTGGGAAGCCTGTCCGTCTCCTCTAGGCACCTGGTTAGTACTCTCGTTAGAATGCACGAATTTGAAAATGTGCTTTCATCGTAGGATTCATTCTAGCATGTCTTGGAGATCAATCGTACGCCCACATGCGGCTTCCCAAATAGCTACATTATTTCTTGACTATTTGTGTGGAATACTGAAACACTTTTTTTTTTTTTTTTAAGCAATCTAGAAGAAATTCACAGCTTTTGAGGCTCTGGGAAGTATTTTTGATAAGGACAGGCTTTTACACGTTGGAAACATGTTCACTAAAATTCCATGGGATGTCGCATGAAAGGTGTTTCTCCTTCAACTTCCAGATACTCCAATGTTACGGTCTCTCACCAGCGATCGACTTGACGTATTCTTCAATTCCTTCATTCAGGGGCCTTGTTGCTCCTTCAGTCTGACCCATTTTGTTTGTTTCCCTTTTCAATAGCTCCAGAGTGCAGAAGAATGATTTCCATAGGAATTTGACTGCATCCCTAACCAAAGATGTTAGGAAAAATATAAGCTATACTGAAAGAGGTGTGCTCTTTAGCGTGGATTCCTGGACCTCGGTAAGAATTTTCTGCTTCCGGTGGGGGAAGGAGGGACATGCTGCTCCCATGATCTTTTCCTTACAGACTCACTGGCCCTTTAATCATTCACTGAGAGTCACCTGCGCAGGAGCCAGGTGACTCATGAACCACAAATATCCTTGGCCGCCAAATGTGGTATTTTCCAGAGATGTTCTGAGATGTGAGTCTGGACCTCCATGGCCTTGGGCGAGTCCAGTGGAGCCCGAGGTGGCCCCAGGCACCAGGGCCAGGCCTGCTTTGCCCTTAGGCAAACTGTGTCAGCAAAATGGCAGGCTCCCTGCGCAGAGCGCCATGCAGGGGGATTCTGTGTATGAAATCGGTCCGTGAGATCACCTTTTAAGTGTCAGATGTTCAAATTTGTCTGATTGGGGTGGCAAATAACACGTGGATGGGGAGTACTTTGCCTATGAGATAAGCTTGCATCTTTGCTGTCAATCAGAGACAGCTTCATGGCAGAGGTGGCATTTGCATTAGGCCTTGAATAGTAGATAGTATTTCATCAGTGAGCATGTATCTCTTGGGAAAGTTTGGGGATATTTGGAGATACGAGTAGACTCGTTTGCTTGGAAAACAAGACAGGGATACAAGGCACTAGGAGGGGTTTGGGAAGGGAAGCAGGCATGGGATTGTGAAGGGCTCTTAACGTCTGGAGGGTTCATAGGACACCATCTAGCTGGTGGCCCTGGGAGTTGGGCCCGGCCCCAGCAGGCCTGCTTTGCAGGTGTGCTGTCACACAGGGGGCCTGTAGTCACCCTGAGAAGGGTCCCACACTTGGGTTAGTGCTCCTGCTGTCTTAAAACTCCTAATAACTTAGGGGCACCTGGGTGGCTCAGTCAGTTGGGCGTCTGACTCTTGGTTTGGGCTCAGGTCGTGGTCTCGCAGTCATGGGATCGAGCCCCACGTGGGGCACCACGCTCAGCACAGTCTGCGTCACACCCTTCCTCCCTCCCTCCCTTTCCCGCCCTGCTCACACACACACTCTCTAAAATAAATAACATCTTTAAAAAAATTTCAAAACTTCTGAACCAGGGGCTCTGCATTTTTATTTTGCACTGGGCTCCGCGAGTTCTGTAGCCCGCTGTGACCTGTAGCCCGCTGTGACCTGGGCCCCCCTACAGCACGTACCATGTTGTCCTGTGGTTACTCGGATCGGTCTCCTCTGTGGAAGGGTGGTCCCGTGGGAGAGGGGCTTTCTGTTGCCAAAGCCCGTCCTGGCACCTGGCACACAGCAGAAGCTGAGTAAGTGCTTCCTGGAAGAGTGGGCAAGGCGCAGGGGGCATGAGGGTGAGCGTCTGGGGGCAGCCTACCGGGGGTGCTAGCGTGCGGAACCAGGAGGCCCAGCCCCATCCTGCAGCCCAACCCCCCCCCGCCCCCCGGCTCCGGCTCTGCCCTCCTGCTCTGAGCCCACTGTGCTCCCATCCAGGCGAGGCCTCGGAGCCCTGGTGGGGTCTCCTTCACCCTTGGGTGGATTCAGAGTTGTATCCCCTGGCCATGGATGGGTCCTGCACAGGGCCGGATTATTCGGGACCACTCAGTCTGCACACAACCACGTTCAGAACACCTCAGATCCCACGCTGAGGGGCTTGATGTCTCTGTGCTTGGCTTGCTTCTGGCGCTTGGCAGATGACCTTTGGTGCCTAAGCAAACACAGCAGCCTCTCCATTTGACTGTGGTTTGGAGGGTATATTCAGCATCCTGGTGGTGGTGCAGTTCATGTGGAGGAAAAATAGACACACACACACACACACACACACACACACACACACACACACAGAATCCTAGTTCTAGATTAATGGATTAAATGTTAAATTGATTTTGTTACGTTCTACGGGTTCGTAGGGACTCTCCTGACTTTGGTTCAGGTGAAGGCCCAGCTAACTCTTTGTTGCCATCCTGGCATGAACGCTAGGGCCACACCTGCCCTCCCTCCCTGCATACAGGGGCCGTGATTTCCCTCCCTAATTGCTCATCCCAAGGGATCTTACTGATAGGAATCGATGCTTTATTTTTTTAGCACTTGTCAAAATGGGTTTCCTTTAGAAAGTCTAATACTTTTGACGAGAAATAATAGTTTCACTGATTATGCCATGTGTCCTTATCTATAATGATTTTGTGTTTCCAGGACTCCCTTACTTTTCTGTACCAGACTTTGGAAAGGAACGTACGCACAATGTTTACAGGCAGCTCCCAGCATTCATGGAAACACGTCTCCAGCCCCCTGGCATCTTACTTCCTCTCTTTTCCCTACACAAGACTCGGCTGGTAGGTGTGAGTTTCTCCTACTCCCGAAAACAGTCCCCAGTATGAAGTTCACTCAGTCATTTCAACAAATGGTTTTGGTGGTACCTGTTAGCACCTTATATTCCAATTAGCTCATCATCAACAAAAACATTAATACAGTGGTCAAGTTACTGTAAAGATGAAACTGTCTCCTTAAAATGGGTCAAAATGAGTTTAAATGCAGGGAGCTTTCACTTTACTGAATAATTACCATGATGAAGTGTTGTAGAACAATTGCAAAGCTTCGATGTTCTTCTGGGAATCTCATGACGTTATGAGTGGATAAACAGCTATTACAGTGATTGGGATATCATCGCTTCATAGGACAAAAGCCGAGCACACCACAATAATTGTATACATAGAATGTTGGGGGTTCCTCTGAGTTTCATGATCAACCCAAACCAAGCCCAAGTATATGGCGGTTTTGGGGAAACCTCTTTTTTCAACCACACTTCTCAGATCCAGGTGACATTGTTTCCCTTGGAAAGATTTGGTGACAGCCCTTCTTTTTGGGAGGCCACTGATGCTTTCAGCCCCAGCACAGGCGATGGGGGGTGACTGCTGTGTTTATTGGCCGGTCCCCTGTGCATGATGGCTCTTCTTGGCCACCTTCCTGACAGAGCCAAAGAAGGTCTCCTGCTGGGCTTGCTGCCACAGGGGGATGGGGGGTGGTGCAGAGGTCCCTCCCCAGCTTCCAGCCCAGGGAGCCAGGGGACAGCAGTGTGTCCATGGTCAGTGTGTCTGGCCCCTCTCACTGGGCGGCAACCCCTTTAGAAACAACTGTCTTTTTTTCTCTTTTTCCTTCTGTGCCACCATGGAGTCCTTACGTGGCCATGAGAACTACAATAAATACGTGATTTCTGGTCTTTCTAGCTGCCCCAACAAAGACATTTTGGACCTTTGCTCTATAACCGGTGGGTCATAGACCCTCATTTGGAAACATCCACTAAATACGTCAAACATTTAACTTCTTCACAATACAAAGCACCCTATGCAGCTATGGTAGAAATAACACGGTGTACTTAACACACGTTGGTCTCAGGCTCCATCCTTTTCCGTTTGTTACCTGGTCCATCAGAAAGCTACCGGTGCTGTTGGCCGGATGCAGATTTCCTGTGCTCCCCGGCGAGCCCGGGATCACGCTTCGCGGCTCTGGGTTTGCACACAGAATGTGATGCTTTGTGAAGATGCTTTTCGCCTGCTCGGGTCATAAGGTTCAGAAAGGCCCAGAGGCCTTAATGTGTCCAGTGGTGTTGTGTTTCTCGGAGAGCAAGACCAAATCACACAAACCATATAATCTCAGAAGTGGACCTTCTCCACAGTCAGGGTGAAAAACGCACCAAGAGGGAGTGCTCCAGAGAGAAGCAGGCGACCGTCTCGCCCATGGCTCTCCGTAGTTACTGGACGGGGTGTTCTCTCTTCTCCCCACAGGGCAATGACCTCGGCTGACCTCAACCAGGACGGGCTCGGGGACCTGGTGGTGGGTGCCCCGGGCTACAGCCGCCCCGGCCACACCCAGGTTGGGCGCGTGTACCTCCTCTACGGCGGCGAGCTGGGCCTGCCCCCCATCGACCTGGATCTGGACGAGGAGGCCCACGTGACCCTGGAGGGTTTCCAGGTGAGGCGCCCGGCTCTGACTTTCCCTTCCCGTGTCCATAAGCCCTGCCTGTCTTGCGTGGCAGGTTCCCCAGAGCAAATAGCCAGTAAATGGCTGGTGGCCTCTGTCTGTGGAAACGCGTCATTTTTAAAAGCCTGTTGGCCCAGGACCTGCCCGAAACACAGCTGCTGTTTGTTCAGAGCTGCTCTGAGTCACCAGTCAGGATGTGATTTCTTGAGAGTACACCCCTCCCCCGCGACTTTAAGCCTCCCTCTTTTTATATATGAATTTTTATTTTCTAAGAATGGTAGATTCACAGAAAAGCTGTAAAGACAGTGCAGAGTTCCCAAACACCCTGTACCCGGTTTCCCCTAAGGTAGCGTCTTACGTAACTATGGTGTCAACGTATCAAAAGTAAGAAACCAACTCTGGTACGTGACTCTTCCTAAATTCCAGACTTTGCTCAGATTTCATTCCTTGATCTTAAGTGGGGATGCATCCCCAGAAAAGCCCCACAGTGACTGTAGGAGACAGGCTCCGCGTGGAGTCAGCGTTGCTCCGTCTCGGGACAGCAGGAACCTGGACTGGCATTAGTTACAGGAGCAGGAAGGGGGGACCAGGAAGGGGGGACAGGTAGCCTTGCGACTGGTCACAGGCGAGCTTGGGCGCTTTGGTGGGACTGCGCACTCCCAGCAGCAAGCAGCCGGGGAAGGGACTTTACGGCAGACCGTGGTTTTTGTCCTGGGGAAACCGCTAAAGCTTTTGTTGTGGAGTTAATGCTGTGAGGACAAAACAAGATGACATGCCTGGACATACTTCACACATGAAAGGTATGGGGTTAAGGACCGGACAGAGGAGCCCTGAATCTGAGAGGTGATCCTCAGTTGGCTGGCCAGGGTGTGAGGTTCCACAGTCCCAGACGGACAGCATTTTCTGGAACTTTCTGCCACCACATGAGAACGTTCCAAAATAAGTTTACCCATTCCTGTTGCTTTTTTTTTTTTTAAGATATTTATTTGCCAGATAGAGAGCATGCACACAAGCAGGGGGAGCGGCAGACAGAGGGAGAGGGAGAAGCAGGGAGCCCGATGCGGGGCTCGATCCCAGGACCCTGGGATCATGACCTAAGCCGAAGGCAGACGCTTAGCCGACTGAGCCGCCCAGGCGACTCTGCTGCTTGCTTCTTTTTTTTTTTTTTTTTTAAAGATTTTATTTATTTATTCATGAGAGACAGAGAGAGAGAGAGGCAGAGAGAGAGAGAGGCAGAGGGAGAAGCAGGCTCCCAAGGAGCAGGGAGCCTGATGCGGGACTCGATCCCAGGACCCTGGGATCATGACCTGAGCCGAAGGCAGACGCTTAACCATCTGAGCCACCCAGGCGCCCCTCTGCTGCTTGCTTCTTGACAAAGCCGTGCCCCGGCAGAGTGTCGGGGCTCCTGCCGGCCGGGCTCTGCGTGTGGAGGGGGATGCACGCTCTCAGACACGTGGGACGAGGAAGGAGGCAGCGCCGTGCTCACTCGATAACGCAGACACCATGTTATGGCCGCTGAAGGCACGGGTGTAGCCTAGGCCTGTGGTGAGCCTTTCTGTGTCGCTGTCTGGAGGGGGAGGGGGAGGGGGAGGATGAGCGGCCTCAGGCGTGGCTCTGCTTGAAGAGTCTGCTTGTCGAGGAGCGACGGGTTAACGCGTGGGACGGCTTGGCGTGCAGCTGGTGACCAAACGAGGCTGGTTTCGGCCGCCCGGCGTGCTCACTCCCCGGCTGCCCCACCGCGCTGGGTGCTCGGAGCAACCCTTTCTCGTTCATCAAGTTCCCGCCTCGGAGGAGGGGCCCTCTCCAGAGGCCACTGCACGCCAGGCACAGCCCGATGGGCCAATACATAATTGATGTGGGTTCTGGGCCGTGGGTGCGTGCGTGGGGCACACCTCCACTTGTGCAAGACTGCTCGTTGTCTACATTGTGAAAGAGCAGGAGACCCGAGGAGTGGCTTTGCGGTCTGGGCGGATTTTGGAGAGCAGGAGATGAGAGAATCCACCTCGGAAGAGAAGGGTCCCCGAACGGACTGGGGTTTCCATCCGTAAGCCGTGAATGTGGGGTAGTGCACGTACCTGCGCCCGTGCGTGTAAGGTGCTGAGCGCGGGGTCTGCAGCGCTGCTGTCCCCAGAACGCCCCGTCGCCGTGCCCTCCCGTAGGACGAACGGTCTGAGTGCTCATCACGTGGTAGCCATTGTTGCTGGTGTATGGGTTCTTATTTTGGATACTTTCCAAGGGAGCCTGGCCCTTCATGTGGGACCATTTTCGAAAAACCCAGAACTTGTGAGAACGGATCCTTCTCTTTCTGGCACCTCCTCGTCCCCTCCAAGGAGACACCCAGCGGGTGGGGCGCGGATGTGCTCTGGTCGCTACAGATTTGTCCCTGGGCCCTTGGCTTCCAGGTTGGGTGGCCGGGTCCCTGTACTCCCAGGGAGTCGCCTGCTTTTCTGGAGGCCGTGGCTCAGCCTAGGGGGGGTCACTGGTGCCGCTTCAGCCCTCAGGTCGGTTTGGCTCGGCCTTGGCCGTGTTGGACTTCAATAAGGACGGCGTGCCTGACCTGGCCGTGGGAGCGCCATCGGTGGGCTCTGAGAAGCTGGTGTACACGGTAAGCAGCTGGGGGGGGGGGGGGGGGGGGGGGGGGGGGGGGGGGGGGGGGGGGGGGGGGGGGGGGGCGGGTGGAACATCTGCGGGAAGCAGCCAGCCAAATGTACCGGGCCCGCATTTGTGGGGAGATGATCTCGGCCCCCTCAGTTTGGGTCCTTGACATGACCTTGGGTTACCAGGCGGCGCCTAGTTCCTGCCTCCCTGGCCTTCACTTGCCCTCCTGGGTTTCCCGATTTTACGCCCCCTCCCTCCCACCAAGACACTGAATGGTGGCGAGGGGGACAGGGGTTCCAGCCACTCGAGAGCCCCCGGCACCACCACAAAGCGGAGACCTCCCTGGACCCCTGTGCCCTGGCCGAGGTCCCGGGTCCCGCGGCGTGGGCTCTTGTCTGCGTGTGCCCCGTACATGGCAGGGCACCGGCTCCTGCACCCTGTGTGACCCAGAAGGTCCGAGGCCCCTCATCACCTCTACCTGCCACGAGCTCGCTTTTGTCCCTGTCTCCTCGCTCTCTGCTTCCAGACTGTGAGCCGTTTGTCCTCTCTGGACCCACAGGCCCCCTCGCCTGAGGACGTGTGGAGAAGGTCCTTTCTCCCCTTCGTCCTTGAGGAGCAACAGGGCACCCACCCGGGAGCTGACATCAGCCCCTGGTGTAGGCCCCATGTCACTGTCCCCACACCACAGCCTTCCCCTCTAGTCCCTTCCACGCCGTGGTGTCACTGCCGGTTGACCAGGTTTTTGGGAGGACAGAGTGTGGTCTGACTTACCACGGTCTTCCCTGTGCCCGGCTCGTGGTGGAACATAAATGCTGCTTGAATGAGTGAATGGAGACCGGCAAGTTATAAGATAGGAGCTGGTTCTGGACAGGGAACGATGGCGCACATGCGTCTCAGGGCTGTGGACACTGACCACACGGCGTGTCGTGTTCTGAGGAATCACGGCCGGGTCGGGGAAGGCCTCGTGGGCGAGCCAGAAACAGAGCTGGCCTCACGCGGGGAGGCAAGCGGGTTGTCCAGCCGGTGCACTGAACAAGTGCGTGTGGTATGCACAGATAGGAGTGGCCGTCTCAGCGTTGGGGGCTCCAACACGCTGACGCAAGGGACAGACGTAAAAACCACTTCAGTCCTGTTTCTGTCTGTCGCTGAGCTCCCAACTGTGGGGACTCGGGTGATTCAGGTCCTTGTCACCCCCTCTCCGGTGATCTGAGTGACTGCCCCGCGGCTTGCCTTCGCCTAGGGTGCGGTGTACGTCTACTTCGGCTCCAGACAAGGAGGAATGTCTTCTGGCCCCAACATCACCATCTCCTGCCAGGTACGGGGACCCCCTGGGCCAGGGCCAGACCTGGCCGCCTCCTGCAGTCCGCCTTTGAGCGGGACGTGCTCCCCTGGTCCCCCTACAGGACACCTACTGTAACTTGGGCTGGACGCTGGTGGCTGCAGACATGAACGAAGACGGCGAGCCCGATCTGGTGATGGGATCCCCTTTCGCACCAGGTGGAGGGAGACAGAAGGGCATGGTGGCTGCATTTTATTCCGACCCCAGCTGGAGCCACAAAGGTAGTGTTTGTGAGGAGGGAGCAGGCGGGGGCGGCAGAGACCTCCCTGCTCTGGTCGGTCCTCAAGCCTGTGGGCTCCTGTCCCATCTCCCCCTTCCACTATCAGGTCATCTAAATTTTTTTTTTAAGATTTTATTTATTTGTTATTGACAGAGAGACACAGCGAGAGAGGGAACACAAGCAGGGGGAGTGGGAGAGGGAGAAGCAGGCTTCCCGTGGAGCAGGAAGCCCGATGCGGGGCTCGATCCCAGGACCCTGGGATCCTGACCTGAGCCAAAGGCAGGCACTGAATGACTGAGCCACCCAGGTGCCCTGGGTCATCTAAATTTTCTAATGGAATATCTACCTTTATCATCCAAGTGATATGGGTAAAATCACTGATACACAAAAAGGAGTCCAACTTCCAGGTCCAGATCCGAAGGGGGCCCCCCGTAGGTTGTTGGCAGAGGCTTTCCATGGAAGCCTAGGAACTTGGAAGGCATCCCAGTGATGCTCTGACCTGCCCGCTGGGGGCTCCGTTTATATCGCATCCTCCACCCCACAGAAGTGAGCTCCAGAAATGTGCTTGTCCTATGAAGCGTAGGATCAGTTTCTGACACTGGGGCTCCCTGGGAGCAGCTCGGGGGTACAGGGGAGCTCTGGCAAAGACTCTGCCCGCCCCTCCAACCCCAGCAGCCTCCCACGTAAGGTAAAGGGCACTGGTTGTCTCGTATAGAAAAGCTGGGCGTGGAGTCGGCCAACTGGACGGTGCGGGGCGAGGAGGACTTCTCCTGGCTCGGCTACGCCCTCCACGGGCTCCGCATGAACAACACAAGCGTGCTGCTGGTGGGGAGCCCAACCTGGAGGAACACCAGTAGGTGAGTGCTCCCGTGGGGGCCGGGGACCCCGGAGTGTGAGGGGCAGGTGCCGGCTGCTGCAGGAGCCCGCCTGGGGGGCTCAGACCCCACAAGGAAAAGCTGCGGCTCCGCGGCAAGGTGGTGAATTCTCAGAAGCTGAAACAGGAGCTAGGAGGGGGCTGAGCCTGCCAGGGCTCCCATGACAGTCCCACAGCCTGGGTAGCAGAAGTCGCGGGAATGCATCTTCTCCCAGTTCTGGAGACTAGGAATCCGAGGGCGCGGTGTTGGCGGCGGCAATCTTGAGGCCTCTCTCCTCGCCTTGCAGGCGGCCACCTTCTCCCGGCCTCTCCTGGGTCTGCGCCCATCCCTGGTGTCTGTCCTTACGAGGACACCCAGTCCTGTTGGATCCGGCTCCACCCCAGTAACCTCAGTGTAACATGATTGCCTCTTTGAGGCCCCGATCTCCAAATATACGTATTCTGAGGTGCTGGGGTTCGGACTCCAACATGTGGATTCCGGAGGAACACGATTCAGCCCGTGGCCGTGGCCCTCCCTCTACCTGCTCTCAGTGCGGAGGCAGAGTGGTGAGCCTCACATCTGCAGAGAAAGCCACCCCGCTCCCCTGCCAGGATCTCAGGATCGTGGGGGCGGGGGCGGGGCAGAGGGGGCTTGTATCCCCGGGGCCCTGACTAGTCGGCCCACTCTTCCTCCCGTCTGCGTGTGCTTCCTTCCAGCCTGGGCCACCTGTTCCACGCTCATGACGAGAAACAGAGCCTCGGGCGGGTGTATGGCTATTTGCCCCCACACCGCCAAAGCTGGTTTACCATTTCTGGAGACAAGGTAAGGCTGCCGCACCCCCCACGGAGACTGGGCACCAGGCAGAGCTTTCGGAGCTGCATGGTACTGACTGATGGCATTTCACAGACGATGGGGAAGCTGGGGGCTTCCCTGTCCAGCGGCCATGTGCTGGTGAACGGGTCCCAGAAACAAGTGTTGCTGGCTGGAGCCCCGACTCACGGTAGGTCACGCGCCGGGAAACGTGGCTGTGTTTTTAGTCGGGTGGCTCCTTGACCACATCCTGTGGGGGGAAGGTTGTGAAATCTGGAGCCAGACAGACCGGACTGTGAGTATTTCCTTTTCTCGGTAATAGCAAGCAGCATAACCTGGGGGTAGTTACTTAACCTCCCTGAGCGTTAGTATCTTCATCTGCAAAATGCAAATTATAATATCCACCTCAGAGATTTGTTGAAAATCCCTCATGAAAGTAACCAAGCGTGTTGTTAAAGCTCCAGAAGGGGGGGGCGCGGGGTTCAGAAAATTCTATACATCAGTTCACCGGGACTAGGTCTGCTGAGGACCTGTGTTAATAAAACATCACTTATTTTATGGGAAAGTTTTAAAAAGCCAACAAAAACTTACTCCTATCAGGAGCCTGGGTGGCTCAGTCGTGGGGTGTCTGCCTTCGGCTCAGGTCATGGTCCCAGGGTTGTGGGATCGAGCCCCACATCGGGCTCCCTGCCCGGAGGGGAGTCTGCTTCTCTCTCTCCCTCTGCTTGTGCTCTCTCTTCAATAAATAAATAAAATCTTAAAACCTTGAAGATCTACTCCCTTGAAGATGATCAAAGTGAATCATGCTTATTGTAGAAATTTGTGAAAATAAAAGATGTATATAGAAATCACCCCTTATCCAGATATTTAAAAACTTAAGCTGAAAAGGATGCTCCCAAGCTGAAAAGGGTGCTCCCAATTTTTCACTATTGTGAATACCGTCTTCTCTCTCGAACATCGATGTACAGAAAACTCTGCCTCCTAAATAGTTTTTAAAATATCCTGGAGAAGGAATTCCTGGACTAGAGGGTCTACTAATAAGGCTCTTCTTACATATTGTCAAGTTATTTTTCAGGAAGATTTTTGCACACATTAGAATAATAAGCAGAGTGGATTGGGCAAAAGAATGGCTAGGTGTTTTTTCCCTTTCCTTTCTTTCATTTTAACTAGGCTCCACGCCCAGCGTGGGGCTTGAACGCACGGCTGGGAGATCAAGAGGTGTATGCTCTGTGGACTGCGCCGGCCAGCGGCCCAGAAGGCTAGATCTTTCATTGCATGATTAAGGACACAGCACTGTAACCCCGGATGCGGACTTAGCTGGAGTAGTGGGGGTTCCCCCTTTCACAGAGCTCTTTCCAAACTTTAACAACACCCATTAGTGATTTTATTTTCTTCACTTTTCTACTGGAGTGCTGTGATTAGAGCTTTCCAGACTTTGTTTTAATGTCCTTCCAGTCTTGGTATTTTCCTGTTACAAAATACTATATAACAATATAAAAAGGTCAATTTACGTATCTGTATTATATACAAATTAACCTTATGTATTTATTTATGAGAAAGAGAATCAGTATCCCTCAGTGCAGTTTGGGCATCATGGCTCTCTGGTAACAGACTCACTGCACTTTGAACGGTCAGATGTACCTGCGGGGTGATCCCTGAGGGCGGTGGTTGGGAGCATGACCCCGTGAGGCCTGTCCCTCTCCCCCGGAGCCTAGATATTTAGTGGGGATTTTAGGGTGCTGATGAGTAACTGTGAAGTATCTTCAGTATGAAAACGATGCTACTCAAACGTGGCGAGGCTGAGATGAGGTGGGCATTCCTATGGTGCTGGTGACAGGTGGACTGATGCTGCCCCTTCCAGAAAGGTTTGGCAGAAGGGCAAGAGCCTCAGAGATACTCATTCCCTTGGATGCTGTTTGGACCGTTTCTAAGAATCTGCTCTCAGGAACTATTCCAAACTGCAGGAGAGGATCTTTATCACAGTGTTAATTAAAACAGCAAAAAGTTAGAAATGGCCTAAATGTAAAACATATAAAATTTTATAATCTGCAACAATCTCCATTTTGTTTAACACACATGTGGGTATCAAGCTCCAGAAAGCAATATATGTTCTAGAACTTCTTTATAATTTTTTGGGGGCATTTTCCACACCTTTTATGGTACGTAAAAAGTGTTGGCATTCACAAGTTTGACACTCAGATTTTCGACTGTTTCACAGTAATCCTGAAAGTCAGTGATAATGAAGAAGTACGACTTACAGTTTATCTGAGTTGCAAGTATGAGCCACAATGCAAGGCGGTGTCCCTGCCCTGGGGCCCGTGAGGGAGTCCGGCTGGTGAGACGGACTGTACGACAGCTCTAGCCAGAAGTCACGGTCAGGTTCTGGAAGGCCTCATGAAGAACTTACTCTGTCGGGTTTGTCAGGAGTGTGACGCAGGCAGTTTGCGGTGTAAGGGAAGACAGAGACTACTGCGGGGGTCAGAGCTGTCGGATGGGGTATCCCTGCACGTGCCCCACGCCTGGGTCTCTGTGCCCAAGCCTGCGGCACCTTCCCACTGAAGATGCCTGGCTGTGAGCCTGAGCCATTGTGTCACTTGAGGTATGGAAGGCTGAAGCAAGACTAGGGCTCCATTCGGTGCTTTGTCTTCTCTTCATTCCTGGGATGGCACCAGATACTGTGCCCTGGTTTATTTTTTTTAAAGATTTTATTTGACAGAGACACAGTGAGAGAGGGAACACAAGCAGGGGGAGGTGGGAGAGGGAGAAGCAGGCTTCCCGCCGAGCAGGGAGCCCGATGTGGGGCTCGATCCCAGGACCCCGGGATCATGACCTGAGCCGAAGGCAGATGCTTAACGACTGAGCCACCCAGGCGCCACCTGCCCTGGTTTATTTCAGATGAGGTGTCCAAAATGGCATTCCTGACCATGACCTTGCACCAGGGCGGAACCACTCGGATGTATGAACTGACCCCCGACACACAGCCTTCTCTGCTCAGCACCTTCAGCGGGGACCGCCGCTTCTCTCGATTTGGTGGAGTTCTGCATTTGAGTGACCTGGATGGCGATGGCTTAGGTGGGAAAAGAACAGGGCCTCTGGCCAAGAATCGAGTCCCTTTGCTCAACAGACCGGTCCCCTAATTGGATCATGTAGCCTCTGCCCTCATAATGAACAGCTCGGTGGCCCAAGGGCCTTTATGTCTTATTTCGAGTCAGGCAAGACCAGAGCCAAGTGAGCTAGACTTCTTGAAGGCGGTAGCAGGAGAGCCTTCAAGAAGGGTGGGGAGGGTGGACTACGTGAAGGACGCGCTAATCTGACCTGTGGGAGGTTGGGTTAGGACAATGGAAAGCATGACAGGAGGGAGACCCTTCTGGTTTCTATGGCTTGCAGATGAAATCATCCTGGCAGCCCCCCTGAGGATCACGGACGTCACCTCCGGACTGCTGGGGGGGGAAGACGGCCGTGTTTATGTCTATAATGGCAAACACATCACCTTCGGTGACATGACGGGCAGATGCGAATCATGGATAGCTCCGTGTCCTGAAGAAAAGGTAACATGTGCCTGTACAAAATCTATGCCATGTTGGCAGAGGCGGCTACCTGATGCCTCGTAAAATGGCGTCCACTGCAGACCCTAGAGTTTTTAGCTGGACTGTCCGCGGTCAGGACACAATCACATGCCTGTGTGTGTAGGCACAAGTGGCCCTGGGGTCTTGCAGGTCTGCAGCGTGGTGCCTGTGGCTGCAGTCTCTGGACGTGGTGTCACCTGCTTCTGGTCACAGCCCGCCGCCTGGAGGGGAGCCCACAGCAGAGGAAAACAGGCCAGGGCCACTGCAGTCTCATCTTTCCTGTTTCACTGCCTTTTTTAAAAGAATTTATTTGAGAGAGTGCAGAGCAAGAGTGAGCACAAGCAGGGCCAGGGCCAGAGGGGGAAACGGTCCCCGCGGAGCAGGGAGCCTGACATGGGGCTCAATCCCAGGACCCTGGGACCACGACCTGGGCCCAAGGCAGATGCTTAACTGCTGAGCCACCAGGCGCCCCTGTTCTTTTATTCCTTTTCTCAGGTGGGTTTCCTTAAGGGTTCCCTGGGCATAAAAATCTTCTACCTAGAATTGCATTCTGCAGAAATAATTAACCTTTTGATGTATATCCTTCTGGTATTTTTTTCCTGACCTTAACGGCTATCACTGTGCATTTTACTCTGTGCCTAGCACTATGCTAAGCACGTCACAGAGCTCTCCCTCCCTCCCAGCCCCTTCTTAACTCACATCAATGCTGGTGAGTTGGCACTATGCCAAGTGGGGAGACAGGATCCGAGAGGAAGAAGACGCGCTGGGTCACAGTGCTCAGAAATGGAAGCATGGGGCTCTGCACCAAACCAGTCTCTTGCTCACTACACTGTGTGAATGTATGAACAACTGTGGTCTGTTGTACACAATTTGTAACAAAATTCTGTCTTACTGCCCTTTTTCTATGCCTGCTTACATTCTCCTACAGTACATTTCCCAGCTGCCTACTACTCTGTGGATAAGCCACAGTTTATGTAAACAATAAGTATTAGTAGTATTAGCCCCTTAGTCCATTTCATTTGTTTTAAATAAGGATACAAGTATTCACGTACAAACACCTGTGTGCATCTATTTCCCTGAGCTAAGTTCCTGGGTCAAAGGGCCACAAAGCGCAGGGCTGAGTGCAGAAGTGCGCACGTGGGCTGCAGTTAAGACCCGCACCCGCAGTAACCAGTCCCTCCCTCACCCTCTCCTTCCAGGCCCAGTACGTACTGGTTTCTCCTGAGGTGAGTACCTCCTACGGGAATGAAGAAAGAAAAACCATGAAGGTGCCTTTCCCTTATTTTTTAAACTGATCAAATATGGCGTGTCTTCCAAAGACCATTAACAGCCCCTGTTTTACAGGCAAGTTCAAGGTTTGGGAGTTCTGTGGTCACCGTGCGGTCGAAAGACAAGGTGAGCATGAGGCTTGCGCTCCTGGCTAAGGCTGGGGTGCGGATGATCTCATTTTATTGTTCAGATTGTGTTTGAAAAAGAGGAACACAAAAAAGGAACATCCACACACAGTCCCATCACTTTCCCAGTTTCATCCCCGAGGGCAGGGCTCTGCAACTTACAGCCCATGAGCTAAAAATGGTTCGTTCAGATGGGGAAAAAAAGGAACGAAGTTTAAATTTGTGTCCGTAGTTTCCTCGGGCCACGGCCACGGCCCCGCACGTTCTCAGAGACTGCCGTCCCACGGAGCCTCACGTGTGAGTACTGGCCAGGGCCCTTCAGGAAACCTTGCAAACCCTTGCCACGTCGGATAGCCACTGTTAATGTTTTCTTCCAGACTCCTGGGGTTTCTGTAGGACTCTAGGGACAAACACACACTCTCTCCTGGTCACTGCTTCCTGCTCGCGTACTCCAGTGTATCACGCTTCCTCTCCAATACAGGTGGAGCTATCTTCAGGGCTGCAGAGTATGGTCCAGATGCACCCTTTTATTTGGTTCACTTTCTCATATTTACTCGAAATTATTTCCAGTTTTCTTACTGTTGTGAGCATTCTTGCACAGCTGTATATTTTTATATTATGCAAATATCCCTGCTAATGATATTCTTGGAAGATTGCTGGATCAAAGGGTATGCACATTTTGGATTTTAATGGATACAGCAGTTAAAGGGTTTATCTTCAAATCTCCAGCTAGACCACTGAATGCATTCCTTCGTTTAGGATAGGATATTGCATAGAACTGTGCAGGCTCTGAGACAAAGTCCCCACCTTTGAGGAAAAACACCACTTATACACATGGGAAGTAGAATAAAATACACATCAGGATAGGATTAAGGGCTCGAGAGTGGGGTGGACCTGGCTGCAGTTTACAGGCATTCAGGGCCACTGCCCTCGAGTGGCCCACAGTTCGAGTGGCCCTTGCTTGAATCTATTCCAGAAGAAACACGATGGATTATTAAGTTTATGGGGGGAATCTCAAAAATTACATCATAAGCTGGGCTTAAAGATTTTGACAGCACGAGAGGGAACACAAGCAGGGGGAGTGGGAGAAGGAGAAACAGACTCCTGCTCGATGTGTGGGGCTTGATCCCAAGACCCTGGGACCATGACCTGAGCTGAAGGCAGACGCTTAACGTTTTTTTTTAATTTTTTTATTATGTTAATCACCATACATTACATCATTAGTTTTTGATGCAGTGTTCCATGAATCATTGTTTGTGCATAACACCCAGTGCTCCATGCAGAACATGCCTTCTTTAATACCCATCCCCGGGCTAACCCGTCCCCCCACCCCCCTCCCCTCTAGAACCCTCAGGTTGTTTTTCAGAGTCCATCGGGCAGACGCTTAACCTTAACCAACTGAGCCACCCAGGCGCCCCAAGCTTGGCTTACTCTTAAAATTCATTTTCCAAAAGTTAGACATTATCAAAGTACCCATATGAATTACACAAATTTGTACATCTGTCAACCCTTAGAGATCTATAATTTACAGTTGATTCATTTCTGTACATTGCAAGTTCACCTTTATTATAGTTCACTGTAGTGAACGTTCACATTACTTCACTTTCATTACACCTACCTGGGATTGTGGCCCTGAAGGACCAAGTTAGTTCAGTTCTATTGACAAGTGGACAAGGACAGTCTGAGGATGAGGAAAGTGGCCCCTCAAGTGAGCCTCCAGCAAGGGGCTGGAGTTAGGACTCGGCCTGCACCTGAGCCGAGCTGCCTTAGTCTGCATCTCTGAACCCTCGTGGCACTAACCCCCGTCTCCATCTCTGTGTCACCCGAGCACAGCAGGACGCCTGGACTAGGGCAGGAGCTTCCCAGGCGTGACCAACAGTACTGTTCTCTGTCCCCTACAGAACCAAGTTGTCGTTGCTGCTGGAAGGAGTTCTTTGGGAGCCCGACTCTCCGGGGCACTGCACGTCTATAGCTTCGACCTCCATTAAAGACTTCACTACCTTTTCCTACTCTGTGTCCCCTCCCTGTGCCAAGTCATCTCCAGGGTGAGCATTCTGGTGGCAGAGGGGCACATCCAGGGGAGCCCGGGTAGATCCTGCTAGAGGTGGGGTCCTCGAGTGGAGACAGGCCTCTTCCCAGGGAATGACGACAGATACTCTGCTTATTCGTGTCCCCTTCCAGCGCGTCCTTCTTGCTTCCCCGGTATTGAAACCTGGGGCTCAGACCTGCTGTACAATTGCTTTCCCCTTCCACACAAATACCTAGGGCTGATGCCTGGAAAGGACTCTCTGGTTAGCTCTTAGGAAAATCTGTCCATTTCTCCTAAAAATGTCCTTTTAAAATTGGTGACCCATTCCAATCGAAATAGAAAGCACAGTATACAGGCAAAAAGTGAGCAGAGAAATAGTGAAGGACAAATATAAAACTAAAAGCTCACCTTTCAGTGCCCTCAACTGCTTTTGTAGAAGCGGCTGTTCGAACAGTTGAACCCGGTAACTGCATGGGTTCTGTGTCCTTTACGAGGAGTCCGTGCTGGGCTGGCACAAGCCGTGCCCACCCCGCCAGCAAGCTCTCTGGCCCGAGGCCAGCGCCCGGGAGGGAAGCAGGCGCCGGCCTCCCTGGTTCCCGGGCCGGCTGGGATTCATCTGCAGGTCCTACGGAAGGCTATATCTGAGGGAAAGGAATCAACCCAGGCTTCTAGCTTCACTGAACATGTGAAGGCGTTATTACGGATTCTGTAGCAATCAGGGAGCAAAGTAACTGATGACAAGAACCCTTTTTAGCGTCTCTAGAGGCAATGTAGAGAGTGGTTCAAAGAAGACAGGAATCCAGGTGAGGAGTCAAGTTAAATTAGAAATCAAGGGAAAGCTACTCGAGTTAACACTGTGAGCATAAGGGGAGTAAGGAGGGAAAAATGGGCACACACACCTAGACAGCACCTTGGATGACCCGTGACGGTCCTCTTAAGTGTGCAAGCTGCCAGTTCCCTAGGGAACAGCAAAAAGCACAGACACCTTTGGTTTCATTTGGGTAACAATGAAAGGGGCCAGAATGACTTAACTGACGTCTACGTGTAGAACATGCTGATAACTGCAGCATACTGGGCCTTCTCCTTAGAAGTCTGTGTTCTCACACCACCATTGCTAGAGAAAGGGTCTGCTTCCCTGACCAAGAGGGCCTGGGTTGACACACGATCATTCTCAATGTCTAAACATACCAGACGGAAGCAAGTTCTCACACAGGATTTATACAGGATATTTAACCATCTTAATCCCATATTCAAAAGCGCAAAGTTGTATTCCCAGTATCAAAGGTCGACCTGGATGGCAAAGATGTACAAACTGGCCTACAGAGTCCAGTGCATTTCCCCAGAGGTGGGTTACATTTTAAATCTAAGTATTAACTGTAGCTCTAAGCATGGATTCTGAAATGCTTAACAAAAATGGAAATACCTTGTAGGGTTTTAATCTCTCATTAACACAAATCTGAGCTTAAAGGTCATGGAGTTATTTCAAGATGTCAAAACACATGTACATATTTGCAATTTTTCTATTACCTGTGTATGTAACAACCTGCTTCAAGACTTCACGATCAACATGGTTTCCGTGCCTTTGAATCACAGACCTAGAAAGATGTGGAGTGCATTTGGGAATGAACTCCGATCTCTGAATGCCCTGTCCACACACCATTAGACCACCTCCATGGTAGTACTAAAGTAATGCAAGTAAATCCTGAGATTAAAGTTTGTTAGATAAATATTAACTACCAAGGGCGCCTGGGTGGCTCAGGCGGTTAAGCGTCTGCCTTCAGCTCAGGTCATGGTCCCAGGGTCCTGGGATGGAGCCCCACATGGGGCTCCCTGCTCCACGCAGAGTCTGCTTCTCCCTCTCCCACTCCCCCTGCTTGTGTTCCCTCTCCTCTCCCAAATAAAATCTTTAAAAACTCCAAAAATAAAGCTGTGTAAAGCTGTGTACAACTCTTGGAATAACGTGCCCAAAAGCTTTTTATTTAGTGGTTATTTCTCAGTCTGTTTGCTATCTTCTGCCACATTTCCTTAGAGGCCTTCCAAAAACAGTCTGTTAAGAATATCATTCCTTGACCTTGTTAAACAGGGAATAAGACTGCTTGCTCGCTCACATAACCAAACACTTGTGCTCAGTGATTTTAACTCAAAATTTAAAATCGCCTAACTTCTTAGGTAAGAAGCATCCTATCTGCAAAGCAGAGCGAGTTGACATTTTGAAATCTTACTTGATCTAACCACCTTCAGGAACCAGTAACTTCTCTACATCAGACTTAAGAGGTAGTTTTATTTCCCTTTTGTTGAGGAAACATGACTCCTGGAAAAAAAATTTTACCCAAGTCCAGAAACTCAAACCCAATCAAACCCCTTGGGCTTTCAGTTCTTCCATGTCACAGCGAAGTCACAGCGAAGTCACAGCAGCAGCAGCGCTCTGAGGTGTGAGAAAGTGGAGTGTCCCATAAGATCGAAAGGTTATCAAAGACACTTTGGCTTCGGTCATCACACTTACGACCCTAGAGAGTTCTGTATACCCACATTCCGACACCCACTCCTCAAAGCGTGCCCCTGACCACAGGGAGGTGCCAAGTGGGCCACTCTGTGCTGAGACCAACCCAGCCTGGCCACTGTATCCTCCAGCTTCTAGTGGCTTCTTCTAACCACACATGGGAGTGGGGAAAAGTACAACTCCATCTTCTCTCAAACCAGCTACTGGAATAGCATTTTTACTCCCATCACCAAACTACTTGGTAAATGGACTCCTAAACTGCCTCCTATGACATCCTATGACATCCTATTATAGTAGCAGGTAACCCCAACATTATCAGCATACGGATTTTACTAGTATCACATGTGTAGTAGAAGAGCTGCTCTGGACACTCTTAAGTTTGAACCTCTGAGGTGTAGGCATACAGATTAACTGGGCTACATACACTTTCGGGGGATGGGGGTGGTTGAGGGGACCTCCATCTACTCTCAAGACAGGGAATGACCTAAGAGCTACAAAACAGTAACAGGATGGAAATAGTTTTCTTTCAACATTACTTCCAAAGGCTTCCATTATAGCCAAGCAGAGAAAAATAGTTTCAGGAGTCAAGAAAATACAGTACGTTAAAGGCTGATTTAAAGCACAAGAATTTTGCTACCTTACCTGACACAAAGTTCCCAAGAACATGATCCCCTTACTAAGGACTGCTACCTGATCTCGTTCACTGTGGGCTTAATCAAGTTTTCAGGCTTTGCTTGGCCTGAGACACGTATAAATCAGAAAATCTATACAACAATCTATTCTCACATGTCTATAAAAACAGCATTTTAAGGTTTTTGCTTCTTTCCTCAATTTTGAAAATGTAGTTAAGTTCCAGCATTGTGGAGTGCCATAACATCTTTATCATCAGACATAATTTTAGTGATTTTTTTCAACTGTCTGACTCTCTAAAGAAAAAGAGTAGCAGAAGTTTCCTGTGACTACCCATGAAAAGTAACCCAGTCTCTCCGTGTTGATGTCTCCTAACGGTTTGTCAGGACGCTCCTGCCCGGTCCAAGACCGTCGGGCCGGAAGCCGTGCTTCATTTCCAGCCTCCTGTCCGCTTGAAGGGACTTCTTGGGTAAAGAGGCCATCTAAATAGAGCAGGAAAATTAATCATTTTACTGTGGGTCTGTCTGAAAAGAAATGCCATGAGTAAAAGGAAAGGTGATTAGCAGATGACACAAGCCCTTTGTCAGGACACTAAGTATTCATTCCCGGTATAAACTGGGAATAGAAAGGTAAGAAAAAGGGTAAACTTTTCTATCTTTTCTTAATGAGAACGCTACATTTTCTACATTTCAATCTGAGTTATGACAAAGCCTGAAGAATGCTCATCCCAGAGTGATGTATTTCGCATAGAGCACTAAGCTGTTCACCAGGCCAGGCACTGTACTAGTAATAAGTACTTTCCACAGCTTATTTAACTCTCCCACTAACACTATGAAACCGCTGACACTGACTTGACAGATGTGGAAATGAAATAACTTGCTCAGAGTCACAAAGCCGGTGACAACACCAGCTCAGGTGGTCGGTCTGCCTGCAGAACCAGACCATAACCCTTGGCTACATTGCTGCGACCCAGACCCTTCATACCACGGGAGGCAAAGGAGCTTCTAGTTGTCGTCCCAGGAATGACAGCAAACGCCTCCAGATGAGTCCACTTCCCATAAACATAATTCCTGTAATCAGCCAAAACACTCTGTGGTCCTAAAAGAGAACAATGAGTTAATTTCAATCACAAAAGGTCAGGTTCCTTAGCAGTACAATTCCCATACTATGGTTGCCCCAGAGCTTAAAAGAAGTTTTTTTTTTTTTTAAATTTAAAGATTTTATTTATTTGACAAACACACAGCAGAGAGGGAACACAAGCAGGGGGAGTGGGAGAGGGAGAAGCAGGCTTCCGGCCGAGCAGGAGCCCAATGCAGGGCTCCATCCCAGGACCCCGGGATCATGACCTGAGCCGAAGGCAGATGCTTAACGACTGAGCCACCCAGGCACCCCTTAAAGAAGCCTTTTGTTGTTTGTACAGCTCTTCCCTATAGAAAGGACCGAAGAACAAGCCTTGATAGCACCCAGAGAATCAGAGAATTAGAAGGGAAACATGATATAAAAGGGCTTCAATATTTTAAAACCATTTATTTACGTGTATACAAACATTAATAGTTATAATCACAGAGGACATACAACTGAATTTAAATTTTTTGCTTATAGCCACAGCTCCTAAGCTGTGAGCTGAGGTGTCCTGGGTATCACAACACCCCAGATTATTTTAAGTTTTCAAGGAAAACACAATGACATCTACAGAAGAGACCTAGCTACTTCATAAACAACTTGTTAGGTAACATCACAGAAACTACAATGTCATAAACTTTTGGTCTAGTAATCCTCTGAAAAAATTAAGACACTAGACACTAAATGCATCATGAACCAAGAAAGTTTGGCAACCTCTGACTTACAGTAAACATTTTTCCTGTCATTTTCAAGCTTGTACTATTCTGGCAGTGTAACGTTCATGCCTTCGTGGATGGAACCACAGAACCCCCCCCCGCCCCCGCCCCGGGGAAGGGATCCCATCTACAGCTACTAGCTGGCTATCAGCCACAGCCCGGGTAGCTCCAGAGAGTGAGACCTCCCCTGCCCCAAAGACAGTGCTACTGTCTTTGCTGTAGACTGGTTCTACAATCCACCTATGAATAAAAATCTGAGAATGCCAAAATGTGATAAACTAGGGGGGTTAAGTTCCAACCAAGTTTGAAATTTCAAACACAAATTGTGGCAAGATGGCACAGTAGGAGGACCCGAAGCTCAACAGGTAGAACCAGACAACACATCAGTGTAAACCCAGAAAATGACCTGAAGACTGGCAGAACAGACTCCACAAGTAAGTGGGTGAAGGGGCCACATCAAAGACGGCAGAAAGTACAGAGACCTGGTGGGGAGCTAAATGAAACTGTGGGGCTGCCCATGGGAGGAAGGAACTTGCCAGCACAGAGAAGGGAGAGAACCAGACTACTGCACTGGGGTGCCTGCACGGGAAGATGACTATCCGTAACATTTGGCCTTGAAAACCAGAGGGGCTGAGTTCTGTGAGTTTTTACAATCAGCAGGCTCAATTTTAGGAGAGCAGAGAGGCTGAGAGGAAACTGAGTCCCCACCATTAGAGAGACAACTAACAGCCTGGGTAGAAGCAGCAGTTTGAAAAATACCTGGGGCATACAGTGGGAGAGTTGTTTGCTAACCTCAGGTGTTCCGGAGAGACAGAGATCTTGGGAGACTCCTCCAGGAACAAAGGACCTGCAGGTGGTATCCACTGCCCCCCCCCCACCCAGCTGCCTGGGGGAACCAGCATGACACTCACTGATTTGCTTACAGTGCACCCAACCTCCCACCCCTGAGCTTCCCATCCGCACCCTCCAGCCTCAGTCCCAGCTCTGCGGGTCCCATCCCCCAGAAGACCCATGCAAACCCTGCTAATACCAAGCCTACCACACCTGGGGGGAGGGGGTTTGCATCCACCCCCTCCAAAGCAGGAGCCCATCAAAAGCAGCACCCCCAGCCTGGCACATGCAAGCTGCCCCTATAGGGCCAGCACCACTCCAAAGCACCTCCTGCCCGTGGAGAGGGGAAGCTAACCACGCAAACTGAACGTGGCCCCCAAAGTGGGCTAGGGGCAGACAGCTGGTCAGACTGCAGGCCCTGACCACACATGAAAGCTTCTCGGGGGACAATGCAGGGAAAGCATCCTGCAGTTTGGTGCTATTGCAGCTCTGGCAAATGCCTGCTCGGACTGACCCATTACTACCACAGGGAGCAAAAACAGCCACTGCAGATACCTGGACTCTGCAGGCAAACGTGGCCTAGCCACACAGTAGGGTGCACACAGTACACAACAGCTCTGAAGCGCCAGGTTCTGGTGAACAGGGGACCTTGCACTGCAGGCAGACAGAACCTCCTTCCCATGAGGCCACCACCTTCAAGAGCAGGAGACACAGGTGACTTTCCTAACACACAGAAACAGACACCGAGAGGCAGACAAAATGAGACAAAGGAACATGTCCCAAATGAAAGAACAGGACAAAGTCACAGCAAGAGACCTAAGTGAAATGGAGATAAGCAATACGCCTGATGGAGAATTCAAAGTAATGATCATATACTCAGGACTTAAAAGTGGAGGACATCAGTGAGGCCCTTAATGAGACAAGAACGAACCATTCAGAGATGAAGAACACAATGAAATTAAAAATATACTAGATGGAGTAACTAGTAGATTAGAGGAAGCAGAAGACCTGTGAGGACAGAGTCATGGAAAATAAAGTTGAACAGGTGAGAGAAAAAAATTATGCAAAACAAGAACAGACTTAGGGAACTCAGTGGCTCCATCAAGTGTAATAACACTGGCATTATAGGGATCCCAGAAGGAGAAAAGGGGGCAGCAAATTTATGTGAAGAAATATCCAGATCCAGGAGGCACGGAAATAGCTCAACAAAATCAACCCAGGAGGTCCATGCCAAGACACATAGTAATTGGGGCACTGGGTGGCTCAGTCGGTTAAGCGCCTGCCTTCAGCTCAGGTCATGATCTCAGGGTCCTGCTCATTATGGAGTTGGCTTCTCCCTCTCTCGATTGCTGCCCCACCCACATGCTCGCTCTCTCAAATAAATAAAATCTTTAAAAAAGACACCTAGGGGCACCTGGGTGGCTCAGTCGTTAAGCATCTGCCTTCGGCTCAGGTCATGATCCCAGGGTCCTGGGGATCAAGCCCAGCATCGGGCTCCCTGCTCAGCGGGAGGCCTGCTTCTCCCTTGCCCACTTCCCCTGCCTCTGTCAAATAAATAAATAAAATCTTAAAAAAAAAAAAAAAGACACCTAGTAATTAAAATGGGAAAAAGTGGTGATAAAAGAGAGGATTTTAAAAGCAGCAAAAGAAAAAAGTTAAATACAAAGGAAACCCCAAGGCTATCAGCTAATTTCTCAGCATAAACTGCAGACGGGAGTTTGTAAGACAAGAAGGGAGTAGCATGATAAATTCAAAGTGCTGAAAGGGAAAAATCTGCAGCAAAGAAGCTCTATCCCGCAGGGCCATCATTCAGAATAGGAGAGACAAAGGGTTTCTCAGAGAAACAAATAAAGGAATTTATCACCCCTAAACCAGCCTTACAAGAAATGTTAAACGGGGCTCTTTGAGTGGAAAGGAGAGACTGTAAGTGAGAGTATGAAAAGCAGGAAACAAAAGCAGCAGAAATAAGTACATCTGTAAAACTCAAAGGATGCATAGTAAAAGGATGTAAAGTATGACACCCAAAATGTGGGGGGGGAGAGGAGTAAAGAATGGGTTCAAACTTAGGTAACCATCAGCTTAATACAGACTGCTATATGGAGAAGATGTTATACACTAACCAGTGGTAACCACAAACCAAAAACCAGTAATAGATATGCAAAAAATAATTAAAAAAAAAAAAGGAATCCAAGTGTAACACTACAGAAAGCCAACTAATGAGAAAAGAGAGCAAGGGAAGAAAGGAACACAGAAGAACTACAAAAACAACCATTAAAGAACAAAATGGCAAAAAGTACATATCAATAATTACTATGAATGTAAATGGACCAAATGCTCCAATCAAAAGACACAGGGTGAAGAGAATGGATAACAATGCAGGACCCATCTCATGCTGCCTACAAGAGACTCATCTCAAGACCTAAGGACCCCTGCAGAAGAAAGGTGAAGGGATTGAGGCATCTATCAAGCACATCGATGTGAAAAGAAAGCTGGGGTAGCAATTCTTAGAAAAAAAAGACTTTAAAACAAAGACTGTAACAAGAGACAAAGAGGGACACTATAATAAAGGGGACAATCCAACAAGAAGATATAACAAGCTGGTTGTTTGAATAAATCAACACAATTGATAAGTCTTTAGTCAGACTCATCAAAAAGAAAGAGAAGACTCAAAATCAGAAATAGGAAATAACCACCGTCACAGAAATACAAAAGATTGTAAGAGAATATTATAGAAAATTATATGCCAAAATATTGGATAACCTAGAAGAAATGGATAAATTCCTAGAAACAAATAACCTCCCAAAACTGAACCCGGAAGAAATAGGAAATTTGAATAGACCAATTACCAGCAATGATATTATATCCATAATCAAAAAACTCCCAAAAAATAAAAGTCCAGGACCAGATGGCTTCACAGGTGAATTTTACTAAACATTTAAAGAAAAATTATTATCCACTCCTCTCAAACTATTAAAAGAAAAAAAGGAGAAAGGAAAACTTCCAAATTCATTCTATGAGGCCAGCATCACCCAGATACCAAAACCAGATAAAGACACTACAAAAAAGAGAACTACAGGCCAGTATCTCTGATGAACACAGATGCAAAAATCCTCAATAAAATACTAGCAAATCAAATCCAATAATACATTAAAACAATCATTCACCACAATCAATTGGGATTTATTCCTGGGTTGTGGGGGTGGTTCCATATCTGCAAATCAATCAACATGATACATCACAACAAGAAAAGGATAAAAACTGTATGATCATTTCAGTAGATGCAGAAAAAGCATCTAACAAAGTACAAAATCCATTTATGATAAAAACCCTCCACAAAGTAGGTTTAGAACATACCTCAACATAATAAAGGCCACATATAAAAAACCCACAGCAAACATCATACTGCAAAAACTAAGCTTTTCCCCTAAG